GAAATGTTTTCCGTCCACACCACCGGCCGGAGGAATTTAAAAACGCGAGATTCACGGTTCATTTTAGATTCGTGAGTATGAGGAAAACTCGGTCAGGGAATTTACATTATTATCGTGACACCATCATTTCGGAAAAGGTCCGCTTTCAATATGTTTTCTGTCCACACACGAAAACGAAAAGCCGGCGTTTTGACGATTCCTCCGGTTTGAAGAGCGTTTTCGAATTTAAAGCTCCGTTTTCGAGACGGATTAATGTAGACAGTACGCTTAACCGTAGAAACAAAGCTGCGTTTTCAAATTCCTCCGGCCTGCTGTGCCGGGACGGGGCCTGAAACAGAGCGATCAGCGTCTTTTGATCATTGAAAGTTTACAATAGGTAAACCTTTGAAAAATTGCCATTTAAATTTATTATGTCTATTGACACGTTTTTTTTTGTTGTTGTTAACTTCTTTTGGGCATCTTTATTATTTGATCAATCGACATGCGAAAAGCCAAAAAAAAAGAAATAATAATAATAATAATTAACAGGCTGAATATTGAGGTCCTTGGCCCGACAAATTAACAATTTATTACTTTCTAGAAGTCGTGGGCTTATTCACAGGCAATGAGGTGCATAATTGTTCAAGTCAAATGCAAAACAGGAAATCTTCAACGTAGAGGGACAGGGAGCCGGGATGGCGGAGTGGTGAGAGTGCTTGCCTCTCACCAATGTGGCCCGTGTTCGACTCCCGCCCGGTGCCATATGTGGGTTCAGTTAATTTGTTGTTTTGTTGTTCGTTCTCGCCTTGCTCCGAGCGTTTTTCTCCGGGGTTTCCTGTTTCCTTCCCTCACAAAGTGAACCAACGTCTCCAAATTCCAATTCGACCAGGACAGAGGACTCGCATGAAAGCCAGCTGCTAAGGCTGCAGTGGCTTCCTCTCGAAATACAGTAATTTATTTATTTTTATTTTTTTTTAGACTGGAAACAATACACTGATTACTAATCGGGCATTTGCCACAATGGAGAACTTCCTTTTGAAA